TCAGTGACAGACACACATCTGGATCACTGCTCCACCACCTGACCACGTCAGTGACAGACACACATCTGGATCACTGCTCCCCCACCTGACCACGTCAGTGAAAGACACACATCTGGATCTCTGCTCCACTCCCTGACCATGTCAGTGACAGACACACATCTGGATCTCTGCTCCAAACACCTACTCATTCACGGTGCAGAGTTTTCGTATGAAGCTATTCTCCACACATCCTCTGGAGGGCATGTCAGGAAACAGTTTGACGAACCAATGTTATCATGTACACGCCATTGAAAAAAACCCCCACGACTATTTCAAATTTCGAACACTAATCCTGAATGATGACCAGTCAATATGGATCCAGTGAGCTAACGCTGAACACAACACAGCTGGAAACAGGTGCTCTGGGAGAAAACATGTCGTCCTACCACGATGTTTAAGCTCCTCTCTCCAGCCAGTGGCTCTGAGTCGGCGTCAGTGATCACCAGCTCTTCTTTCCCGTTCTCCGCCATCTTCTTCTTCCGCGATGATGCTGGTCAGCCAGTGCGCATGCGCAAAGCATCGCCTCACCCAACAGATGCAGCAGTCCTTCTTGTCTCTTCTTGGTTAGACTACAACCCACGCTTTGGAAAAACATGCTTTTGCATAGTTTTCTAAACTACTAATTCTTTCACAAACAACCCTGTGCTACGATAGTACCATAAGCAATCCATGCAGTGTCCATATAATTTATAGTGTCAATCTGTGATATGATGTAATTACTTTTATTATGACAAACAGTGACACAAGTGTCAGGCTCATGTCAGAGCAGGTGATCAATTTTAACAAATGTCAAAAATGACAAAGCATTTAGAGATTGGAATGGTGATGGTGATCAATGGTGATCATAGACATCCTAAGTTGTGTCATTAGAACTTTAATTGTTCACTTAATGATACAGTTGCTAATTTCACATTCCCAGACAATCAGCCATTCATGATATCAAATTAAATGATTACATTTTATTTAGCTGATGCTTTTATCCCAAAAAAAAATCAAGTTAATACAATTTGCTTAAAGAATGAATGTGTGCTCCTTTCTAAATAAACATTTTGTGGTTTACCATTTATGTTGTGGTGAACAAAAGTATTCAGATGGTAATATTAAACAGCTCATAAACATCTGAAATGTCACCCCTTCCTTCACACTGCTGTTTGTAAGAGCTTTTACACTATCTATTGTGTAAAATATTCAATATTCATCCTGTAAGAAAAGAAAAACCGAGAGAACATTTCCTCTGAAATGGAGTGGAGTGGAAGTATAGAGACAAAAAAACTAAAATAATTGAAATACCCATGGAAAGTATTGTTAAAAAACCAAAATTGCTGTGGCAGATTGATTTGTCCACAATGTAGGCCAAATGTCATATATTTATACCAAGCTGGTCATTATGGGACACATGGGGACCTCTGCTGGTCACTTTCAACCATTTCAACACTATTTGGGAGGAAGGACACAGACTATTTCATTTAATATCTAATATATATTCAATTAGGTTACTAAAGCGTGCCATGCTAAATGAAGATAAAAGAACAATTAAGCCATTTATTGATGTTGTATATGTATAGACTTATTGGCACGTTTAATGATTTAGGCTATGTATTTATTTGTCTGTCTATGTAATGGTTAAGATTGTTTTTTTGTCACAGATTATAGGAAGATAAATTGATAGTTGTAGTTTTATTTATTTTCTCAAAGCATTCTGTTTAGAGTTGCACAGATCGGCCTCGACTTATTCTTTTTTTATTAACTTTATTAACAGTCAACATTCAAAGTCAACATGTAGTGTCAAAACACAATAAGAGGAACTTCACATATTGTCACATGTAAATTATGCATTCAGAAAATCAAATGGAATAATTAATTAGAAATAAACGAAAACACCAACAAAGGGGAATTAAAAAAGTAAAAAGAGGATGCAAGTTCAAAGAAGGAACAGTTTACTGTGTCACTCAAGAAATGCTTCAGCGGATTCAAATCTATGAATCAGCTTACATGACACATCTTTAACCTTGTTTATGAGGAGGGACCTTTGTAGCAAGGATCAAACCTTCTTCCAGTCAATATTACAATCAAAGGTGCCTTAATAAAATGTGTCTGGAGAAACAGAAAACATATTGTCCTGAAATAAAGCCTGTATTCTTGAGTTCGCACCCTTATAAACAAAAAAACTAACTTTTCTAATTACAACTGAGCTGGGTCAGGGGGCAACACTGACTAATGTAGAGAGGGGTCATCTTTTTGAAATAACATAAACCAGTGGGGATAGCATCAAAAACCACTGAAAAGTATTTTGGAATTACTGGTAGATTGCAGGAATACACTACTGTGATGTCTAAGACGTAGATATCTCAGTTTCCCTTTTCCTCCATAAATCCAAAAAAAAACTACAGAAGTCCACTTTAAAACAATGAATGAAATGTATCCCTGCAGTTACTTTTTACAACTCAGGTTCAATATTGTTTCAAATGAATTTCTGTTCTGTAAAGCAGAAATAGAATCAAATGAACATCCGATGCTCTGTCGTAATAAATCTATTTTGGGAGGACTTTCAAAATTGGATATTGTGTAACAATTGTAGTCTTGACTTACAAAAACTTGGTCTTATCATAGAGAACAGAAAATTCTTAGCATTTTTTGAATAAATGTACATTTCTAAAAACCACCTGTGACGGCCCACCCAGTGACTTCCTGTTCATGTTACTCCTTGAAGGAGACTGGGTGGGTCTTCAGAGAAACTGATTGCACCTGAGAGGTGGGAGGAGCAAAAGGCATAAAGGGGTTCCTCCCCCAGTCTGTGCTCTCTCAGCTGGACCTGCTGCAGCCACATGTCCTTTGTTTGGTTTGTTGCACCTTTCAACACACACTACACCATGTTCTCACCCATCCACACACTCTTAACATGACTGATGACCTTCTTACTTACACACCCCATCCAGTAGTTACTTTGCTTGCTTTGTTTTAAGTTAAATAAACTAATTTTTGTCTTGTTATATCTATGTGTGGCCTCCCTTTTTGTTGCCGGCCTTGAGCCAGGCGGTAACACACCTCATGCTTTATTATATTTTTGAAAAAACTATTTATTTTCATGGATTCATTGAAACTGAAAAAAAAAAACACTTTTATATGAATATAGTGGCATTTTACATACATGTTAAATGTATCTTTCAAATGGACCCAAACCGATATTATAATAACTTCCATCTTTCTTTGAATTTTTTTTATTTTGTGGTTTTCTGTTTATTTTTGTAACCTTGCTTTGTGGTTGTACTGTTAACTATTGATTTCGCTGAACTGAAGTCTGTTTTTCTAAGAAAAGATGTTGCTTGAGAGAGTTTTATTTTGAAAAAAAAAAGAAGCAAATTCATGAGGGAGAAAATAACACAAGAAGACTAACTTTTGTTGCTACGATAGTATCATTTCCTTTCAAGTGTCTGGTGCTCGTGCGCTCGCAGAACTCCACCATCAGCAGCAGCCAGTTCCTCTTGACCTCAGTGATGCACCAGGCTGAGCTGGATGAGTGCTCGCTTCACTGTAATGAAATGTAATGACACGCATTTATGAAATGGTATAGTAATTCTGAAAAGCTTTTAGTTTATCATTTTGTCTACAACAGCAGCGGTGGGACAGGGGGAGACAGACGCTTCTTGCTGTCCATTGGTGTCACAAGAGCATTTTTGTTCAAGCGGGAGCAAACTATAGTGAAATGTTACATCCTCTTCAAGCAGAGGCTGTTGTGTTTGACAGTGTAAAGCTATAAAGAACTTTACACAACCTACATTGCTATAATGTTGATGTGTTACTTCAGACATACAACCTATCTTACATCCATGTTTTGACATTGTGACAGGCTATTAAAATGCACAGCACATGATGTTTAAGATTGCTTTGGACGTGAATAAAGTCTGTTGAGCAGAAGCACTGTATGTGAAAATGTTCCAAATATTTTCTAGACTGAAAGAAACAAATATATTGAAACAACTTGTACATACTGTATTACACAATATAAAAAAACAACAACCATAAACATGAACAAAATCAAATCCCCACCTCTACCAACAGTCCTTACAGAAGTGAACATCATGAGTATATGATTTATTGTAAAAGACTCACAGGTTGTGTACAATTCTGTTTTTTATTATCACTTTTATTGACTCATATTACATATTGATTTGCTTGTAATTAAATCCTTTTAGACTGTGACAGTTATACTGTATATTAACAAGTCAGTGCTCAGCACCTATTCTGTTCTGATCGTCTGACTGAAGTGTTTCTGCCGCACCATCTTCACATGGGGTGGTGGAGTAGAACAAATTGTATTTTCAGTAAAGAAATGATCATACTTATGTATGTGCCCGTCCCGTCCCGTCCCCCCACCCCCAACAGCAGGGCTGGTAAACACACAACTGTGATCCTGAGTAAATTGTAATGTTGTCTTCCACAGAGCTCACTAAAAAATAACACACTTTGTACTACTGGGAGTGTTCAGAGTGAGTGTCAAAAATGTGTGTCTCCTTTAAACATTTACAAGACTTTGATCATTAGTCCTGCAGCTCCTCACAGAATGGAAACTCAATCACGTCACTGTTTTAAAAGTCCTGGATCTCTCACTGCTGTGCATGGCTGTGGGATTCGTCCTGCGAGCTGACAAAGAAGCAGACTTGTTGTGGAGAGGTGGGGGTGATGTGAGGATGATGGTTCTTGTTCGAGGACGAGGAGGTAGAGTTGTGGATTTCCCAGTAGTTGCCATGGAGGTCTAATGAGGAAAGAGTGGGCAGCTTGTCTCTTTGTGCAGGGTTGTCACGGTCTGCAGGTAGAGGTGGCACACTCGAGCATTTCCTCAGACATGGCTCACTGTGAAGTCAATTATATATATGTTAAGATCGTAACATCAAAGTGAAGGGACTACAGTTTCATTCAAAGAGCTTTGCACCACCACCCTTTTCCTATTACACATCATATTACTGACAGAACCACCATCAGGGTTAATTTGTTGTTCAGTGTCTTCCCCAGGACACGCGACCATTCACACATAAGTAACAGCCGTCCCTAGAGACAACTCAAGACATTTTGTTGGCTTTCAAAAACCCACCTTTAAAATGTCACCTGTTGACTTTACAAGAGTTAATGCAGCGAGCTATACCTCAAAATGATTGCATAATGACATTTTTTCTTGGGATGTTTTGAAAACGGTTCATAATTGTTTTGTATCTTTAAATTTAAATTTGATAAAATCAGCACACGTATTGTCAAGTAGTCATGATGTTTTCACTAGTTCGTTTCATCTAAATTGTATGAATTGTAGTTTTCTTTACCCCAGAAAACACCCTTTATATTTAAATACTTTATATTTACATCGATGGGACCCTCTCTACGGAGGCCGCCATGTTTTTTACATTAGTCCAGACTGAACAAACTAAACACCTTTTGAGTTTTTATGACAACTGAAGGCTACCACAGGTTCTTTTTCATGTTTGGAAGGAGAGGGTGAGCTGAGGGGTGTTCAGCTGCAACATGTAATATCAATACTAGATATCACAACATTCTACACACTGTACCTTTAAATGATCATAAACAGTTCACAGTAGGGTTATCCTATCTTTGCCAGCGCTGCCTCAAACCTTCATACGTTTTAGACAGTTTTCCAAATATGATCTTACCCAATCTACTTAATTTGCTTTTTGTGGTTCAATATGTGTTTGTGCAGCTTGGGTTGGGTTAACAGGAAACATATATACCTTTTGTGAAATGTTTGTTTGTACTCTTCGACATTGACTGTTTCCAAAGACTGGATATATTGAGTGGACAACTGTATGATTGAAAGTCTAGCACATGGCAAATAATGTTATGCTTGTCTAAGCACACACTGTGGGGGTCAGAGTCTCACATTAAACAAACCAAATTATATAGGCCTAGTCATCGTTATTTAATATTTCTTACAATAATAACGTTATTTTTATTGGCCTTTATCAGTGTGAGAGGGCTCCAGGAAAACATGAGTAATCCAAGTAAATATTTAGGCCACCACGGAGACAGTTCACTGAGGAGCGATGTTTAATATCAGTTATTATTCTTCATCATCATCATTGCAGAGTGTTTTCCTGATTGGCAGGTTAATAATAATTCACTTTACCAGCTATTTCTCTTTGTTTCAGTTTTAAGTCTCAAGCTCCTGCTATTCAGCACAGCATTATGAGGAAGTGACTCTTGCATCAGCTCCAGTGCAATGACCCGCAGAACAAAAGGGCATGTTTGAGCTCAGTAAATCATTTCTAACAACACACAGTCTGCCCCTCCTACTCCCCTACATCTCCTTATAAGCTTCATGTATCCCTTTTTTAACCCACAGCAGCACTGGCTGAGGCCTAAAGATATTCCAAAGAAACTGATGTGATAACGGGTTGCACTGTTCCACAAGTTTCTTAAGTTTCAGGCTGTCTTTATGCCTCTTTAGAAATAATCATCTGGTTAACAATTAGCAACCATCTGCGTGCACGGGCGGTTTATATCGACTAACAGCAACGTAAGCTGTTTTCTTCTGTGGGGAAAACAATTCCTTCTACTGCACATGACCATGTTTCGATTCAGCAAGAGCACAGGGAGGAGGGGCTGTTCAGGGAGAGGGGGGGCAGATAAGGTATGGAGAGAAAGAGGCTCAAGTATATGTTGAGTGAAGCCATGCACTGTGCACAGCTCAACAATGAAATAAGATTTTACCCAGCTGAGGTAATACAAAATAGAAAATCTACGTAATTGTTGAAATTGTGGTGGTGAAGCAATGTGTGGTAGTGGGTAGGAAAACAAATTCAAGATACTGATTCATTCATTTCATTCAGTCTGTCAGCTGATGATCACTGCTCCAGCACTGTGTTTGAAAATGACACTGTCTGGAAAATCCTTTATCACCTGATGGAGTGGACGGGTTGTCCTTTCCGGGCCTGCCGGTACACATCCGCAGCCACGCCAAACAGCCAGCCCACATCAGCTGGCACCTCTGGGATCCACTCCACAAACCTGCAGACAACAGAAACCCCATGATAGACGAAAAGCAGCTCAGTCCTGGTTGTGACTCTTGTTACAAGTTTTAACTCATTTTCCGAAAGCTGAGATTCCTGTCATTGACGAGAGCGACACCTCACCTCTGTGCCACTGAGTAGGCCGACTGTACAGGAAGTGTGTATGGCATCAGCATGTAGGAGGCCACTCTCACTGGCAGCATCTCCGACACCTTGGCAAACAGACCAGGCTTATCTTGGCAGGCCTCGCAGAACACTGAAGAATGACCGCACCAGAAAAAAACATACAGAATGTTAGTGCCATTATTTACACACCAGTTTAAGAGGCATGACATAGTTTGTTATCCTCAACTGAATTGAACGGCGGTAATTTCAAACACATCTAAAAAGCTCTATGAGTGTGAGATTACACGGCACCTTTCTTGATGGGTGTAGGCAGAATGATCTGCTCATCCAACCACCAGTGCTGTTTACGATGGAGGTGGAGCCTCCGCAGCACCCACTCTTTGGTTGTTTCAGTAGGTTTGCAGCAGCAATCGGAGGCGCTCTCTGGCAGGGTGAGTCCAGGGGTTGGACGCTCTAACATCAGCAGGTCTGGTGCCACAGAACATGGTGACACAGCCAAAAGGTTAAGCTGACTGACATGGTTATTTAAAAGTCATAGTAACCCATTAGCAAAGTACTCACTGTTCTCTTCAAGGAAGCGTAGAGCGTCTTTATAACCACTTTGACACATCTCAGCCAACACCTGTTGAGAGGAACACATCTTATTAAAAGAAGGAAATCAAAGATTAGACTTCACTTTATTGACTTCAAGGACTGAGGCTCAGGAGGGAGAACAGGTCATCCACTAACCAGAAGGTTGGTGGTCCTTGGCCAAAACACTAAACCCTCAAATTGCCCCTGACAGCTGTACCAGCAGTGTATATGAATAGAAGCGCTGTAAGAATGTGTGTATAAATGTGAGTGGTTGACAAGACTAGAAAAACATTATATAAATACAGTCAATTAAAGGTACAGTGTGTAGAATTTAGTGACATCTAGTGTTGAAATTGCATGTTGCAGCTGAACACCCCTCACCTCACCCTCCCCTTCCAAACACATAAAGAAACTGTGGTAGCTTCAAATTCAAAAGGTGTTTAGTTTGTTCAGTCTGGACTTATGTAAAAAACATGGCGGCCTCCGTTGAGTGGACCCCCTCGATGTAAATATAAAGTATTTAAATACAAAGGGCCTTTTCTAAGCTATAGAAAACAACAATTGATAAAAATGTTGTGAAACACACAAGTGAAAACATCAGTAGGGTTATTTTATATTCAATTTGTGCCAATAGATTCTTTTCTTATTACTTATTACTCCCATCTCTTTTATTTCTTTTTTTTCTTTTACCTGTCTTTCATGCTAATTTGTTGTGTTGATGACCGCGATGTAACCAAAACTCCTTTTCACAAAATAAAGTGTTTCAGATAGTGGATTTGTGACCCTTCGTGGTGGTTTGGCATATTAAAACCTCATTAAACCACAAATAACAGTTGAATAGTATGGTTTAATGGGGAGATATATGAAAATACTATTCTCATATATTTTAATATTTTTGGCTCTGAGTCAAATAATGAGTCTGTATCAAATAATGAAAAAAACACTGATATATTTACTTGCATTGCTTTTGATGTCATTTTTACAATATAATGAACAAAATACAGTATGTTAAAGGAAAAATTATTTGGAAAAGAAAGATTAGAAATATACAGCATTTTAGCTCAGATTTAGAAACACACGTACACACACAATGTGGGAGAGGTAGAGCGGTCATGGGCGTGTCCTTGGGCAAGATGCTGAACCCCGAGTTGCCCCTCATAGAACAAGAAGGTGCTGCTAATAGATTAGACTGTATGAATCAAAATACTTAATAATCCTGTGTTGCTACGCACTTCAGTGTTGCATCCGCCAAGTGTGTGTGTGTTTGTTGTGAGAAGTCCCTCATGCACGGGGGGGGGGGGGGGTAATTCCTCCCTCTATGAACGTGGTAAGACACAAAGAACTTTAGAGATCTGTGACCTCAGTCACATGATCATAGGCTCCGGACGGCATACCACACATGTACACACGTGACGGGAGCACAAAGAGCTCTACCCCAACACGGTCAAAGGTCAGCTCCTTATTTAGGTAATTAAATTATCTTCACAGCACCAGAGGGACACCAGCAGCAAGTGAATTAGAGGCAGGAGGTATGACATGACATCACATTACATTTAGCAGACGTTTTTTTTTCCAAAGCGACTTACAATAAGTGCATTCAACCATGAGGGCACAAACCCATAACAGCAAGTATCATATAAGTACAATTACTCTTCAAAAAAGCCAAACTACAAACTGCTACATGTAAGTGCATTATAAAAGTGCACCTGAACTTTATTTATTTATTTTTAAATATGGGTATTCTACTTTGAGTCAGTCATGGCTAAATGGAGTGGAGGGAGATTAAGAGAGGTGAAACTAAAACAGCCATGCCACATCTAACAGGCTCATACACAGGCACGTGCACAGATAGACCCCTAGCGATGCTCAAGGCCCCGCCTTGCCCCTTCCTCCCTCCTCCTCCTCCACTTAGCTCTCATGCAGCGCTGAGCGCAGAACCGCTGCAGCCTGCAGGTCTCCTCTGACCCACAGCATCAGACAGACAGGTAATGACAGTGTTTGTGCAATCCCTGACATTGTTTGGTGCAAAATGAACCACAATACTTTATATACATTATAGCGCCTTTTGAAAAGAGAGAGAGAGATACAGACAGCTGCAGACAGACAGGCAGGCAGGGAATTTTAAGACAGTTTTACTGTTTTACAAATTAGGAGTCTCTGCTTACCATTGAGCAGAGTGAGGTCATACAAATCTTCCAAGAGATGGCACCAAGGAGGATGCTCCTGTGAAGTAGCTGAACGATCCTGCTCCCTTCACCTCCTTTGTAAATAGTTGTATTTTATAGAATATATTGGATGTTTATTTTTATTTAATTTATTCAGAGCAGAGTTTTGATAAGTTTTAAGTTTTATATATATTTTTATGATTATTTTTCGCCTGTTATTCATTTATTTATTCAATTTGATAATTTGAGTTACTCTATTTGATTAGACTGTGTTGATTGTGTTAACAAAAATAAATAAATGAGTAAAATATGTCCTTCTGTGTTTTTTCTTAATTTTATACTTTTACCAATACTTTGGTATTGGGTGCCCTTTTTTTGGCTTGAGCACCTGCTGCCAAAAACGCTGTGCACGTGCCTGCTCATACATGACACATATTTTCAAGGACACAATGAATTTCTTCTCTTGCCATTGTCTACTCCAACTTACCAAACCATCTCAAAAGTGAAGAGCTGCTCTGATGCTTGTGTGCAACCTACCTTGGGTTCTGGTGGAAACAGAGCTCTGCTGAGACGGTACATGTTGCCCAAATTCATTTGGATGCTGCTGTTGGTGAAGCGTAGCTCGTGGAAGCTGGTGGAGTTGTCCTTAGGGCAGATGTCGCTCTCCCCAGAAAATGGAGAGATGGTGATGGTGTTTTTCAGCTCCGACTGCGGCAGATTGTCGCTGATCCCACCATCCACATACCGCTACAGACACAGAAAAGGGTAAAGCAACACTCAGTTGGTATAGAAGTACGTGCTCCACTGGCACTCAGTAGTGAAAAACACCCCATCTCGCAGTGTGACAGTAGGTGAAAAAAAAATCCTGAATCCGATTCCAGATCCGCACCCAATTTTGATGGGTTCTTCTCTGAGCCATCCCTCATCCTCCCACCAAGTTTCATGAAATTGGTTCAGTTGTTTTGTGTAATCCTGCTAGCTAACAAACGAACAAACATAAAAGAGAGCTAAGAGTTGTTTTCAATATTTTCACTGTCTGCACTCTGTCCACCATTACTGATCAGGTTTCACTGAACACAACTGATCACTGTTGTATCGTGTTAATTGGCCCGGGCTCCACACAAAGCCATGCTTGTATCCACACATTTGGTCACATATTTTGAACCATTGCATCTTTGTCCAGCAACTTCTCGGATCCAACGAGACGTCTTTGTAAACATGAGTCGCACAACAGTTCCATTTCAGACTCAACCCCTGGAACACTGAGAATTAAAGGACTTAAACTGCAAAGCAGAAGGAAGTAACCCTTTTCCATTTATGCCAGTTATGAAATTCTAGGTAGAGATGCGGCCTTGTGGATAAACAAGAGAACATTTGTATCCTGAAAGTGCAGGCCCTCAGAATATAGGTCAGGATGATTCACTTATCACAGTGGTGTATGTATAAAGTACTGTTTATACATAATTATCTGTGTAAATGTATATAAATG